CAGGAGGTTCATTAGTCTTTTATAGAAATACACAACTGAAAAAGTTAATTAACTTGCAATAAATAGAAAATTAACTTACTGGTATTTAGTCATTCAAGAAGAAAAAAAGGAAAAAAAAGGGAATCAGGCCTAATTACTCATAAAAATTCTTCAATTTGCAATAAACAGAAAGCCACTGGCACTGACTATTCATCTAGAATTAACCAATCCCCAAGGCCAAATTTTGAAGAAAGAAAAGGAAAGAAACCCAATTATTCATGAATTAACTTCCATTCTCATTTTCATTTTCACACATTTTCTATGCAATCAAACAGAAAACAACACAAATCTCAGCAGGAAAAGCATTATACTAGATAACAAGAAAAAGGGTAGTGAAAAGTGATAAACTTACATGCTGTTGCTTGGCAACTTGTTCTTTGAGCTTGCTGGCTTGCCTCCTCAAAGCATCCATGGCTGCTGCTCCAACTCTCGCCGATCCGCACCAAAAGAGATTCGGGTTCCAGAAATGAACAAATGGGTTTTCTTTGAATCTGGATTAATAACTTGGAGAATCGTCAGATCTGACAGCCGGATAACTTCGGCGAGGCTCCGTTTGACTTCTTCACTCTAGCTCGAGCTGTAGTTTCTCGTTACTCTGTCTTTACATTTTCCATTTTCCATTTTCCATTTTCAGACCGTTTGATTTTGAGAGAAAATATTGATTGTCCGATGGGCTTAATGGGCTTAGTTTTCCTTGTTCTCTTCTGTGGTGTCAAATTAGCCCATTGGACTCCCGAGTTATGTTTAGCTCTTTGGTCCATTCGTTTTGGAGAAGAGATTCAGAAAAATATATGAAATTTTATCAAAATTTTAATTTAAATATATCAATTTTTAAGTTTCTAAATTAAACAATAAATTTTTATTTTTTATTTAAATGTATGAATTTTTATTTTTTTAAGTTTCAATTAAGATTTTCATTTGCAACATATCATCGACATCAAATAAATTTTTAAATAGAAAAAAAGTAAAATTTATATCTTTAATTAAAAAAAATTTACGATTTTAGAAATTTAAAAATTTTACATCTTTAAATAAAAAATTGACAAATTTTGTATTTTATCTATATATTTTCTTTATTGGGCCTAATTATTCTTTTTTTTTTTTTGTACTTTTTGTCATGGGACAAGTTCGAAACTAGCTCAAGAGAAAGGGACATACACTTTTTCAACGACGCTAACCATTGAACCACAAGAGGTAAGTGCGGGCTAATTATTCTTCTTCCTTCTTTATTTTGTATATATAATGAAATTGGGCTTAATTCTCATGTCACGTTGGTATTGTTTTTTATGAAAAAGAACTCCTCATCTCACGTTATCAACCAAGCAAAAACACTTCTAGAGAAACTGAGCAATAACATAAATCATTTTCCCATTTTATTGATCCGTGGCTGGGGAACTTCCGTGGGGAACTTGTAAGAGGTTGAAACACTGATTCAAAATTTGGGATGGTGGAAAGAGATTCAAAGAATTAAAAAACTATTTTCAGTTACATAAATGCTTTCATCAATATTGAATGTACAAAAAAAATAATCTACAGGCTAAAATTATTAAAATATTTTTTATTTTAAATTGTATAATAAAAAATAATTTTTTTTCATCTTTTAATATTATTTCATAAATATGTTATACTATCTAAATTTATAATCTTTTACTTTCAATAAAAAAATTATTACTAAATTATTTAAGTAATTGACATTACTATAATATTTAAAAAAAAAAAAACTTCACTCCATGTTAATTCACTAATCATCTTTGAGCTCCTTATGTAACCTATAATCCAATGTCCTAAAAAGAAGTTTACTTTGTTGACCCCATTCTGGCCATTTACTGTCTCGCTGGAAATTGTTCATGGAACAGCAAAGGAAAGCAACCTAAGAATTTTTGGTGAAAAAAATAAATACCTCAGTTTAATGCACGCCTTTTTTTTTAGATAGATAATTTATATAAAAAGATAACTCACCTCTTTTTTTTTAATTTCTCTCACTTATTTTAAAATTTGAGTTCAAGTGATTTATGTAGCGGGAATAATGAGGGCTGTACATCTTGTTTGTCATCAAGTTTTGACAACTCTTTTAACCTGTTTCAATAATGTTTGGTATTTAAAATTATGTCATGTTTTACATGGAATTAAGGACATCATGGACCATGGCGGGTTAATTTGATTTAATTCAAAGTAAAAAATTTATAATTAGTAGATATTTAATTAGAGGTAATTTTTCATAAATTTTTTAATTTTGATATAAATGATTTACTTTTAAAGAAAATATTAATCTTAAAAATTCAGCTAAATTAACTCAAAAACATCATAACTATTAAATCAAATAAAGAAAAAGGCATCAACTTTGCTAAACTATTAATTATAGAATAAGATTACCAATAAAGTGTTAACAACTTAAATAATTTTTTGATATCTTTTTTTAATAAAAATAAAAATTTTGAATCTAAATTTCTTGATAAACGAATGAAATGGTTTAACAAATAAAAAATGGTTACCTCATTGTAAACCCAAAATGAAAGAGAGAGAGAAAAAGAAAGATTACCAATAAAGTAAGAATGAATAGTTGGAGGAATTATTGACCAAAGCTCGCACAAAATGGATAAAAGAATTGTGCCACATACATCGTATTTCCAACTTATAACTCAATTGATAAAAGCATTTTCTCCTTCTCCAGACGATAGGAGTTCAAATTTCTCTCCTCGCTTTTTTCAAATATTGTTATTGCTCTTGACTTTTGATTTGGAAAACAGTCACAACATCCAAGAAATTCTGCTGTATCCATAAATAACGCATAAAAAAATTTCTTAACTGCCATTATGACTCCGTGTATGAGTTGATGTTATATAATGACTTTAAAGGGATAAAGGCAACTGTAGTCCTCATATTTTGTCAAAATATTCATTACCATCCCTTTACTAAGGAAATATTCAATGCCATCCCTTTACTTTCCTTATAGTATAAATGTTGTTCCTCTATTACACTTTTTTTTGTTCGATGTCACATTTAATTGGATGCCATCCACATTTCCATTAACTTTGATCATTAATTGACCAACAGTCAAACATTTACTTTTTCTTTATTAATTTTTTATCAACCTAGTGGGATCATTTTTTTTTTTCTGATTTTGTATTATTCTTTCTAGCTTTTAAGCCATTATTGGAACAATCAACAAGTTACAGAGCATATGAATCAAGAAAAAAATGATAATAGAGGAATTGGCACGAAAATAAAAGAATGGGACCAAAATATGTGGCAAAAAAAATTTTGTTCCTGCTTGGTGTCTAGAGTCTAGCACATGAGTAGATTTTTTAACCCATTTTGGACAATTTTGGGCGTAGAGTTTTGTGGGTTAGGATGTAGATGGTAAACAAAGAAAGAGAGATGGAAAGGTTGGTGAAGATGGGTGAAGAAGAGGAGCAATTGATTGGGCAAAAATGGCGAAGAAGAAGAGTAAGGTTTCTACTATCAATGGTTTAGGGAAAATGGCTATGAGGAAGAAAGAGAAAGAAATAAAAGTAAGAGTAAAAAAAAAAAAATTGGTTCAACTGATCTCATTAAGTGGATAAAAAAATTAATAAACAAAAATTAAATGTTTGACTATTGGATAATTAATGGTTAAAGTTAACGAAAATATGGATGAGATTCAATTTAAGAGTGACATTGAACACAAAAAGTGTAAGGAGAGTA